TTAATGTCATGAGGAAACAGTGTGTGTTCCATGGTGATGAGAAAGTAGGGTTTAAAACTACAAGCCATCTAATTCCAAGTATACAGCAAAGTATATGTCTTTTTAGAAACTCCCAGGAAAGATGATGCTATTATACTGTTTAAGCCTCACAGTAATACAGAGACCTTAGTCTCTGTCTTAACAGGGACTTGGTCTGGCTAAGTTGGAATCCTCACTCTGTCATTAACTGTGGACCAATGCTGCAAGTGATGAGGCATATTAGCACTTAACACACAAGAAGAATTTTTGGAATTATTTCGGAGATTTGAGATCAAACCCCAGAATCTCAGTATTTTACGCCTAAATTTGGAACCCTGCTTTAATTAGAATTTATTATTCACAGACCATCTTATTTAATATTTCTCTGCCTCATACAATTTACACACAAGACTCTACCCACCCCCTTAATCACCTGCTATTCAAACAGTGTCCTGGATTCAATACTCTCTACTTGGACATGACTCTTACCCAGCTCTACCCACTTGAACTCTACCTTTGAGGCCTTCCCCAGAATCTGAATTTTTCACTTCTTCACTGACGGCACTTAGTATATTCCATTGTCCATAATCCCCTTATGGGTCAGGGCCTTATCTTTCACTTAAGATTGATACTAAATAATAATTTGTCAAGTATCCTAGTTCCAAATGAGCAATAACTGGCAGATTAGTTTATAATCTTGCCTTCCAACAGGAATTTTTAAAAATTTTTTTTTTCCTACTAGCATATTGTTTCGTTCTTTAAAACTGCATCAAATTGGAGTGAAAGAATTCTTCTAAGTTTATGTAAAAAAATGAAAAACACTAAACATGTATAAAATGAGACTACCACCACTACACATTGTGGTCTGCTAGAATGAAGGCAAGGTAACCCAGTTGGAGAATGAGAAACTGTTTTAAAGATACGATTTCTATTAACCACATGGGATCCAATTTGGCAGGTATAACCCATTAAAACAGCTCCTCAGAAGTCTGCAATATAAAAGAGGATATTTTTAATATTTTGGTAATTAAAACAAAAATATACCAAAGGAAGTGACTAATAAAAACTCCCATCAGCATACAAACATTCCA